CCTTTGTATAAGCTGATGGAAGCCACATAGCTGGTGCATTAATACTACGGGTTCATTTAAATAGGTTGGAAATGAGCCAACCCGCGAGCCAATTTTCGAGCCAACTCGCGAGCTATTTTTTCAAGCCAACCCACGAGCCATATTTTTGAGCCAACCCGCGAGCCAATCCTAACCCGACTCGGGTCGGTTGGGTTGGGTTTTCTTGCTCATTTTTTTTCGAGTCAACCCTAACCTGACTTGTTTTTTTCAAGTTGCATGCGAGTTGGGTCGGATCGAGCTAGGTTGGCCTGTTTTGCTAACTCTATGTGTAAGAGACAGTTAACAGGGTAAGAATATTCGGACAATAGTCTTATGAGCAGGTACGGACCGATGGAGGACAAACATTGATGATCTCCACTACCTAAAACTTTATTATTTTATTAATATATGTATAAAACGATATTTATCTAATAATAAACTATTAGCACTGATAGTTAGCTCCCCCAAAAAAATACTTATAATAGTTTGTCCATTTTATTATTCTTAATAATACTTGTAACTTTGGTATTTTATTTTCGCCTCCCATCGTAAATTTTTTTGGGTAGGCCACTGCCTATGAGGAAAATCAAAGTTGTGTATACACTTGGGAAATATGGATGCTCAGGATGATTGAAAGCTTCAAATGCTAAATATATAAACTTGTCTGTCTGCTCCCTTGATATTGTACCAGCCTTTTACAGGGGGGATTCTATGATAGTTGGGAGAGTAAGGGATGCTCCAGAGCATGAAATTCGCAGGATGGTGATTATGGGTAATGTAGTTAGTGGTGACAAAAAAAATCACGAGAATAAACTCTCGATACGAGCTAAGGCGTCATGATGGGCTATCCGTCAAAGACGTGTTCTGCCCATAAATGGACACGACCTCTATACTTGCTACGCACCTTAGTCTCACTTCTCTAAGTAGGATAAAAATCTTGGGATGGGAACATAAAGTATGATTTTTGTCTTGTCATGGATTGATATATTTGTTGGTTATTGTTCAATTTTTGATAGAGAAATGTAAAAAACTGTTTTAATTTTTAATTAAGTAAACAAAAAAGGACACAATTAAAGTGAATTCCATTATTAATGAAAGCTAAAACATGAGGGGACTTTGAGCACTCTACCATGTTTCTTCCAAAAATTATACCTAAATGTCATGCTGCCAGGAAATTTTACCAAACTATCACCGCGTCAAACTCCCTACTAGTTGCAGCGGGTATCATTTGCCATGTGGCACATTTCCTAAAACCACAAATTTTTTGCCAGTGGTAGCAACTTTGGTGTTTAAAAAAGTCAGAATGCTCAGAGGTGCACGGATAAGTGGCAATCAGTCTGGAACTTGCTGTTAGTGGCAGCGGCTTTCAAGACTCACTTGGCACAAAATTTTGATAGTTTTACCATAAAACTTCAGAAGGCAATAATTTTTGACTCAAGTGTTCGAATCATGTATTTTTTTTATTCTATATATTTTTTCGAGATCTACGCACTGACAAATTCCCGGAGGACTATTTCTTAGTGTTGAAAAGTTAAAACAAGAATAGGAACTTAATAAAATCATTCACAAAGATAAAATGTGCCAAACGCGGCACAATGAAGCAATTTTTGATAAATTTTTTTGACTAAGGATTTGCTAACATGTAGATCTTTAAAAGTTATGTGGAATAAAAAAAGAAAGCACTTGATTCAGGCACTCAGATAAAAAGTTATGACCTTTTAAAGTTTCACGATAAAATTACAAAATTTTGTGCCACGTGTCATCACTATGTAAGTCTATACCTTCAAACTCGCTGCTACTCCTAGCTAGTTTCAAACTGCCTCATTTTGGCTAGTTTGACCATCAAACTTCTTGTTAATGGCAACAAGTTTGGTGGCTTTAGGTTTCGTCCCACGTGACAAATGAAATCCGCTGTAACAGGTAACGAGTTTGCCGCCGTAATCTTTTGGCGAAATTTTTAGATATCGTGACATTCATATAATTTTTTTGGGAAACATGGCAATATGGTCAAAATCGCATAAATAAAGTAAGCATTATTATACCAAATGATAATAGCTAAGTAGGCATATAAGAGCTAAGCAAGTAAGGGTGAGAGCATATATTCAGTCATCTCAAATACCATATGTGAGGATTAGAGTATATATTCAATACTCTCAAATATCATATTTGAAAAGGATTTAAAACTTTAATTCCGAATTCACCATGAATAAAATTGCTTTTGTGGAAGATAGAAATGGTTTATCAAAAAAATAAGCATCATCGTAAATTCGGCAAAAAAATTTAATTAATGCTTTTTAATAAAATAATTACGCATTTATTACAGTTTTAAGAATAATTACGGATCTATTGCACAATGTGACGCCTCATTTGGGCGTCGCCCCAATGAGGCGTCTCTCATGAGGTGTTGACACGTGTCTTTTTTTTTCCAAAAAAAAAAACTTAATCATAAAACTTCCGAAGGCCATAACTTTTGACTCGGGTATCCAAATCAGGTAATTCTTTTTTGATTCCACATAACTTTTTGACATTTACGCAATGACATCTCATCTGACATATTTTATTTCTCACAAACACAGTTTTAATTTAAATCAGGTAATCCTTCTTCATTAGAGATTTAGAATATTTATTTAATTATTTTCTTTATTAATACAGATTTTTCAAATTGATTTTTGAGTTTAAATCACAGATCAAATCTTTATTTTGTTTTCCTTATTTATAATAATTGTAACTTTTATTTTAAATCACAAACCAAATTTTTTTTATAATAAAAATAAAAAAAAATTATTTTTTAAATTAAATCACACATCAAATCTTGATTTATTTTTTATATTAAATCACAAACGCAGAACTCAAAGGCTTCTGAGTTTAAAAATGTGACACGTGTCAACACCTGACACGTCACCAATCACGTCTAAATTGAGTTTCAATCAAGAGGCAATCACGCCTAATTTAGGTAATTTTATTTTTGAAAAACATTCATAAGCCATCATTAATTTCAGACCACAAATAATAATCCATAAGCTTATAGCATTAATCATTAATTTCAAAAATAATATCCTTCCTCCTTAGGGATTTAGAATATTTTCTTTATTTCTAGAGATTTTTCAAATTGATTTTTTACTTTAAATCACAAATTAAATCTTTATTTTTTTCCTTATTAATAATAATATTTATTTTTATTTTTAATTTAAATCACAAACCAAATTTTTGTTATAATAAAAAAAATTATTATAAAAAAAAATTAAATCTCAAATCAAAATTTTATTTATTTTTTTATATTAAATCACAAACTCAGAACTCAGAGGCTTCTGAGTTTAACCGCTCTTATAATATCATTTTTACAAATTAAAATTGTGTTTGTAAGAAATAAAATATGTCAAATGAGATGTCATTGCGTAAATCTCGATAAGTTATGTGGAATCAAAAAAAGAATTACCTGATTTGAATACCCGAGTCAAAAGTTATGGCCTTCAGAAGTTTTTTAATTAAATTTTTTATTTTGAAAAAATGACACGTGTCAACACTTCGTGAGAGATGTCCCATTGGGCCGTCTCCCCTTAGGGTGAGACGCCCAAATGAGGCATCACATGTGACACTCAAAAGAGACGTACATTGTGCAATAGATCCATAATTATTTCCAAAACTGTAATAAATTCGTAATTATTTTATTAAAAAACATTAATTAAATTTTTTTGCCTTGTACATTCGGTAAACATTCAATAATATCTCGTACAATAATTTCTCTCGCTGGACGCGGTTCGAAGAAAAGCGAAAAGGACAATAAAGCCCCTCAAGGCTTTTTAAAACGACACAAAATCTAAGCTAAACCCAAAAAGCTCTCTCTTTGGAAACCCTAAAACCCCTTCCTCGCACAACCATGGATCTTTCCTCTCTTTTTCATTAGAGACCCTAAATTTTTCTCCTCATACTTCTTTATCTCCAAGATTTTGCCCCCAAAAACACACACGCTCTCTCCCTCTCTCCATCGCTTCTCCATCTGATTCTCGCTTGACACACTTCACTGCTTTCTCTATACGCTGTTCTGTTACAATCTCTAGGTATTTTTTTTTTCTTGCCTGGTTTTGTTTTTTCCAATTTTCGTATCGTTGCGTGTTTTTGTGCGTTTTGGGGGGTGTGATTGGTTGTAAATTTAGATCTGAGTAGATTAGGGTTTTCAGTTTTTAAAGATAAGACTAACTTTTGGGGGAAGGGTTGAGGGCTTTGATCTAATGCTGATAAGGTCATCATTTTAATCAAATGCTGCTATGGGGGTTATTTATTGTAAAGTTTGTGCGTTTTTCATATCGGCTGAGTCTATTGTCAGGATCCATGACAGTGCTGTCCTGAAGGAGATCATTCTATTCTCTCTCTCTCTCTCTCTCTCTCTACAAAATCTGAGTGCAGGCTTCCCTGGGAAATTAAACTTATGCGGATTTTTAAATTGGGGTAGTTTTAAGGCTGAACTTAGATCTTATTCTATAATACATTATTTTATGTTTTCTTTTGATTGTGATGCGTGCATAAAAATTCAGAAAGTAGTCATTTAGGTGGCATCTGCTAGTTGATGTTTGACAGGTTGTGGTCTTGAAATCGTTGATTATTTTGTGGGGTTAACCTGGGATTGGCTATTCAGTTTTGGGTGCTGACTGTTTAATAATACAGTTTAGGCCACATGATATCTGGAGGTGACTGAACTATTGTATGAACAAAATTACAATCATCTTAGTCCTGTCATTCTTTATTGTTTGAATTCTACATGATCTGTTTTCATTAGGATCTGGGACACGTGCTTATAGCTGATTTTATTTCATTATTTTTGCAGGGCTACATAATTAAAATTCCTTGAAGTGTTTGACTTTGTTAAATTTCAAGTGCAATGGCTTCTTCCTTGGATATGTCACTTGATGATAGAATAAAGAACAGGAGTAACAGAGGGAGAGGTAGAGGACGTGGCAGAGCCCGTCCTGGGCGTGGACCAAGCGGGACTCTTAATGGTGGAAGAATGACTGGTGCTGTTAATGGTAGAAGAATGACTGGTGCTTTTAATGGTGGAAGAATGACCGGTTCTGTTCGCAGAGGTCCTCTTATGGTTAACGCTCGGGCATCATCTTATGCTATTGCAAAGGCAAGCTCAAAAAACGTGGATGCTTGTACTTATGCTTGAGATTCTGAAATGCTATAAAATATCCAATTATGAGAGATTCAGCATTGTTTAAACTCAAAAGCAAGATGAACTCCTACTTTAGTATTTGTTCCATGGAGAAGCTCATGATCGATCATTTTGCAATCTTGATGCCTTTGTCATAGTTCCATAATGTCACAATTAATATGCACCTAAGAGTTATATGCTTTTGTTTTTGGGGGCTGTGCTACAGATATCTGATGTGTGCAGGAGTTGTTTCATGATTCCTAGCATATTATGTGAAGGAGCTTCATTAGGTGAATTTCAAAATGGAGCTCTTACCAGTAGCACAAAAATCATATAATTATAAGTGGGGTTGAATTCTCTAAACCATACTAATCCATTTCATTTAGATGAGATGAGTTTTAATGTTTGACCGGTTTGTGTGCGCCGGCGATTTAGTGGATCCTCTTGCTTAATTGGGTTCTACGGTGCAAGAATTCAGCTTACTTCCCTATTTCATGGTATTTTGCAAAGAGGCTTTTCGCTTATCATCAGAACTGGAGCTCTCACTTGTAGCATAGCACCATGCAGTGGGTTGAATTCTTACTCCTGCCTACCATCTTTTTACCTAGAATATTGATGCTTGAGTATGGGTTTTCTTTTGAATATATTACCATGGCCAGTTCTACTTCGTTAACAGCCTGTTTTTTTTTTTTTTTTTCTGGGAGTTTTCCTGGTCTGTCTTGTCTTGAAGAATCGTGAATATGTTTTTCTGGTGATAATCTGATGTGTTCTTTTGACACTCTGGAAACTGTTCTGTTTGCTTTGGCCAGTCTATTCGCAGAACCAGGCCTTTTCCATGGCAGCATGATTTGTTTGAAGATAGCTTAAGAGCTGCAGGGATTCAAGGAATAGAAGTCGGCACTAAGTTGTATGTTTCCAACCTGGACCATGGAGTAACCAATGAAGACATAAGGGTATATATCATGTCATATCATCACATGCTTCCTTCTTAGTCAGTCTTTCTAGTCAACCTCTCTGGAAAATCTCTTGAAACTTGATTTGCAACTCAGGAACTTTTCTCTGAGCTTGGAGATTTGAAGCGTTATGCTGTTCATTATGACAAAAATGGACATCCAAGTGTAAGTATTGGATTTTGTTACTTGTTCTTGATTAGTCTTATTTCTTATTAGTTTGAGGTCTTAAGTGAGAGTGACTTTTTTTGTTTCTTTCCTTCTACTTTTTTGTGTTTTAAGAGAGAGGGGGGGGGGGGGGGGTAGTTGGACTATCCATTGCCTTTCCTTTCCCAGCTTAACTACTCTATGTTTCTGAAAATAGTATTGTGTTTAGCAGTTTTGTTTTATGAATATTAGCTTTTTAACTATGTGGTTGCCATATTTATTCAACTAAATCTTTAATATCTTTCACTGTATAACAGGGTTCTGCTGAAGTTGTCTATACTAGAAGAAGTGATGCATTTGCTGCTCTGAAACGATATAATAATGTACTGTTGGATGGAAAGCCCATGAAGATTGAGATTGTTGGTAGTAATGGCGAATTGCCCATAACTGCTCGTGTGAATGTCACTGGGGTGAATGGGCGGAGGAAGAGGACAGTTGTAATGACGTAAGTTACTTAAGCATAGAAGCTTTTGTATGATATGATTCTGTCAATGTTTCCTCTGCATCTATTCTGTAATTTGTGCATGTTTATTTTGGAATTCTATAAAATGATGTCAACTCTACATGATCAAAACGTGCCGCAAGTGGCAAATATATCTATTACCTTTAATACTACAGAATTCTGTTAAATCTTTCCTCTCTTATCTTTGTAGTAGAAAAATTAATACTACAGGTGCTGATGTTTGGGGTGTTGCAGGTCTAGAGGAGGACGAGGTGGAGGTCCTGCTGTGCCTAATCGTGGTGCTGGGTAAGAAGACTCTTAGATCAGTAATGGTGTAATCTCTTATGGATATTGCTTTTTACTGAAATTAGTGCTTTGGACTTTGTACAAACAGAGTTTATCATGCATATACATATTTTCTAATGGCACTCTATAATTTTAGTATGAAGATTTAGGACATATATCTTTCGGATTATGTTTGAGGATGTCTTTGTTTCATATGAGATAAATTGGCTTTTGTTCTGGTCTGTATTTCCTATGAGATAAAGGACATATTTCCTGGTTTACTTCTTTACTTTTCTAATCTGATGATATTTATCAAAACGAAAAATGCTTGAGTAAGTAGAACCAAAATTAGAAGGGATGTAAATATTAAGCTGTTCTTGAGCAGTCTGAGGCATCTTAATAGGCCATGTAGTTATTTTGGTGGCATGAAAATAAAATGTTTCAAGCTTTCGAGCATTCTGATAGATTGTAAGATGTCCATGTGAGTAATCATGGGCTATATAATTGTTTTTGTGCATGAATTACGCAAATTTGTCTACTGTCTGCACCGTGTTTAAAATTTTCACATTTGGGTCGACAGATATCTGAGATGTATGTGTGCTTGCATGCTTTTGTTAAAGAAGTTTCTACCGTGAAATAAACTCAAAAAAGTAGGAACTGACGAATTGTACTCTTACTGAGTACCACATAGGATGATATACCTTCCTTATTTCTGAGAATTGTATTTCTGTTATTACCATTATAAAAACAAGACTAAGCAATTCTGGTGCATTAAATTGGTGTTTAACCCTACTTTGCAAGTACCTGTTTAATTGTTTATAGTTTTGTTTTGAGCTTTTTTATGGATATTTGAAGGTTTATAAGTGTCATTTTCTTTTGGTGTCCAGTTATGGACTTGAGTAAAGATTCTTCTCTGTTGGATTTTCCTTTTCTTTTTATCATGTGATGCGATGTAGTTAAGATTTGTACATGTTAAGATTGGGCCTGCATGAAGGTTATCTTCAATAATTCAGGAGCCATGCTGCTTTATTCGGGCATTTTGTTTGCTATTATCGTATGGCTTGTCTATTAAACAGGGAATAAAATGGCTCACTCTTTTTAGTCGAGTGGTGTAACAAGATACATTGGTGAATTTGAACTTTTCCTCCCTTCTTTCATTGAGTTATTTACCCAAAGGCTTGGCATTCATTGTTCATTTTTATACAGATGGGGACGGCGAGGTGGCACAAGGAATGCGAGTGGCATAAGGAATGGGGATGGGACTGGGACTGGACGTGGTCGTGGAGGACGTGGTCGTGGTAGGGGGGGTGGAGGACGTGGGCGTGGCAGAAACGATGCTGTTGAGAAGTCAGCTGCAGATCTTGACAAGGAACTGGAGACCTACCATGCTGAGGCCATGCAGATCTCATGAACTCGGAAGCAGCAAGTTTATTTTGTAGTATGAGTCAAGATTGTACAAAAGCTGCAGTTTCTTTGGCTTTGCTTTGAATCTTTTACTGCGCTGTGCTTTTAAATTCGCCATCCTATTTTACCGCATTAAAATCTTGCTAGGGGCTGAATGATTGACTGGGTGGTTTTTTAAATTCTCAGATTTTATAGAGTATAGTTAGATTTGTCTATTATTTTATAATTGGTAAAATTTGCTAGTCTTCCTAAATCTACCGTCAGCATTTAGCCAGTCCTTAATGTGGCTTTTGTGGCCTTATTACGTATGTGGTTAGTGATCTAATATATCGCCGTTTGAAAATTATTCCCTTTACTATTATCGGTTGTGAAAATTAGCAGATACAAGTAAATGTGTATTTGGCCTCGTTTAGAGGCCTGTACACATGACAGAAGTAATATTTCCCATAAATAGATTATTGATGCTGTCAACGGTTTTCGGAAACACTAAATAATTTTTTTTGAATGGTTTAAAATTATTAATTACTTGTTATCAAAAAAAAAAATTATTAATTACTTTGAACAATAACTTCCTTTGTAGGTTAATGATTTTTAATTCTTTTTTGTCATTGATTTTATAACCAGTCTTATTATCAAAAAATGGTCTCTGAATGATCATCAAACCAGAATGAATCCTTTTTTGAAAATTTAAAAATTAAGTCATTTAGTTGGGGGAAAAAGAATATAAATTTGAACCATTTTATCACTTATGTTAGCAAAATGAAGAGCATGGAAGGTTCCCTGCTAAAATTAGTTTGCCAGCGAATGGGACGCTCAGAAAATTGCTTCCAATCTTGTAGTATATGAAAATATTTATTGATCCATGTTTACTTAAAAAATGTACGTAGGAAAACCTCAAAAAAAAAAAAAAAAAATCAGGACCGACACATTTGAAATAACACTCAAGTCTTATCAATTGGAATTCCCCTTAAGAGTGTAAGCCTGGGTTCCAAGCAATGTTAGCTATCTCTTTTACATCATAAATTTACAAACTCAAGAATATCTAGAACCAAAAGAATCAATTATATGTTGGTGGTGATGGGAGTGATGAAGATGACGATGATGGTGCTGTATTCTTTGTCTTTCTTGATTTTTTTACATGCATTTCGCGCAGCCTTTTCTTTTCTTTCTTTGGCTCTTTGTCTTTGACGTACTCGCCTCTTCATGTTGGGGTTTCCGTTCTCGGAAACAACTCTTAATCAGAGCCATTTCTTTGTGGTTATAATACTTTGGTGCAAGGTGCGATAAAACTATATCCCAATAGTGAGGCCTGAAGGGTTTGGAAGACATCTTTTGACGCGTCTCCTAACCTGAAATTTCCCCCATCAAATCACAGAGTTTTGTTGTCCCTTTGAGTCATGGTGGCAAAGCAAAGTTGACGAATGGAAGCGTATAAGGTTTCTGTTTCAGGGGTTTGGAATAGAGCATCAAAAGGTATGAGGTTTATTTCACGGTGAAGTAAGTGAGTGATGGAGTTTCTGTTCAATTTATAGTGAGTTATCAGATTTAGAATCTTCCGAGATTAGAGATAAGCTATCATCATAAGTAGAAAATTTGGAGATAATCTTTTTATATATGTGTAACTCGGTTTATTTCATCTAAATTTTTAGATTTTTAAAGATTTAATATTAGTAAAGATAATTCCCATTAATAGCTTTCAAATAAATAGCTTTCTAAATATGTGACTAACTAACCCGGTTTATTTAATTTATATTTTCATATGTTTTTTGATTTGATAATAGTAAAGACAATTTCCTTTAATAACTTTCAAATAACATAGCTTTCCAAATGTATAACTAACTAACATGATTTAAATTTTATTTGGTTTAATATAATGTAACTTTCATATTTGATTTAATATTAGTAAAGATAATTCCAACAGAGAAGCACCCAAATTATCGATAAACTGTGTAAACATACTGCTTCTATAGAACCTGCGCAAGGCTATAATGAAAGGAAGAAAATGTTTCAGATGTAAGGAAGAAAATGTTACATAATAAATTGGTTAACATTATGATAGTAGAACACATGATCCAGGCCATATTATGTTTCCAGTGTGGCAGTGTATGTGCCTGCATGCCTTTCACAGTAAAACTTTCACCAATAGCAGAAGCAGTATTGAAAAACTAACACTAGATATTACAATTTTTTTAAGATATTCTAAATCCATACATGCATAGAGGACTCAAACTGACTCTAAGAAGACTAATTTCAGTTTCATTTGACAAAATGTGTCTGCTGATTTTGATAATTTTTTGGTTATTTTGGTTATTCATTAAAAGCAATTATTTTATCTGTACTATGATGCCCTGCTGCCCTTGTTGGTATTGTTTCATGCCAAATTTTTGGGAAGTTTATCTGATTTTCAGTTAACCCTTGATTGAGAAATCCAAACCCAAGTTGATTCCTTTTTATTTCTGACAGATAAGAACAGTTAAGGTAAACAATAATATACTTATACTTCATTTTTTTAGTATAGGGTTCCAACATAGCTAATGTTTCTGTCACCATCACACCTGTTGAGAACTACCAGCTGCCCCCTGATGCTCTTCCCTTAAGTCCTGCGAGTACCTATTTTTTTATTCAAATTCTATGATATTTATTGCATGCAATTGAGTATCATCATTCTTCTTTGTGCTACTTCTAGTAAATCCATATCTGCTTAATTATGCTATTTATGTTCAATTTTGCTGAACACGGTTGTTCACTTGTTCCTTGTGCCAGTCCAAAATATCAGTCCCTAAGGTGGTGTTTGGTTGATGTTTTTTTAGGAGATACCTAGGCATCATAGATAGGGTTTCTTTGTTTTCCATGTTTGGTTCACAATATTACAAAATTTTGATAGGAAACACATTTCCCTAGACTTTAATATTTGTGTGTAAAATGGAAAGAAAGTTGCTGTTCAATTTCTCCACTTTGAACGTGGTATTGTGACTTAGACAGCTAAATGAGTAAAAGACAATCAAAAAGCTGACCGTAATACCCTTATCTTACCTAATTTGCCCGGTAAATTTTTTTCCAACCAAACAACTTTTTTTACATTTTCCTACCAAACTCACTTTCCAACCATTTCCCTATCAATTACATTTTCCTAGTATTCAAAAAATTTCTCCTCAACCAAACACCCCCTAAGAAACTTAGAGGTGCTTGAGTGTTTTATATGTATGATCGTTGACATGCTCACAAGTACATTTGGATTGGTTTAGTTTGTTTAGTTATAGTCAGAGACTCAGAGTCCACTCTTCAGTTGCTTCAAGTTTGTTGTATGATGATAAGTCCTGTGAATTGTTATAATGATGTAAAAGTTGTCTACGTATCTGATTCTTAAATATGGATCAACATTCATGAAAAATGATTAATATTTTCTGTTTTTCTATGTTCCTTTTTTCTTCATATACCTCATTAAACAAAAACAGTTTGAACTTGCCTTACATGTTTCGGAAAAGAAATTTTCTTCTTGATTTGGTGCTCAATGTTCTTCACAGATAAAACATTGTTTCTCTGTTTTAATAGCAACATATTTTTAAAGTTGTTAAAAATCAAATTTAAACAATATAATCAAGAAGAATTAATCCTATTTATTTTTATCACAAGGATATTTATGTTATTTAAATTTAATCTAATTTTAAAAAATAGAATGCCATTTCATTCCAAGAATTTCCATTCTTTAGAGTTGGAATGGTTCTATCCAATTTGCTTATTCCATTTTTTAAAATAATTCTTTTGTTTCGCGTATCAAATGATATGCAAGTCATTAGTATATAAATTTTTTATAAATAATTTTAGAAATTTTGAAGTTGTTTCATGTTAAAGCAAAACATTATATATTAAATGGGAAAAGTGTCTATACATTTAAATTACACAACTTACATCCTTTCACTCTCACAAAGAGGTGGGACCCACAACTTTATTTTTTTTTGTCAACTCTCTCTCCTCTTTTATCTATCCCTTTCTCTCTCTTAAAATGACACAACTTTACATCCTTCAAAATTATACACACTTTTCCCATATTAAATTTAAAATATCGTATTATTTGATCATTTATACAAATCATTTTTTAAACTATAACCTTCACAGCGATAACATTTTGTTAAACGAGTTTAGATTTGTAATGCACTGGAACTCATCACAATGGAATGCAATATAAGAATATACGCTCTTTTTATCACATGATGAATTTTTTTTAAAATGAACACTTATATTTTGTGTGTTTAGTTTCAATATTCCATTATATTTTATAACAAAAATATGTATATAATAATATCATTAAATACATATCTAGTCAATTTTACTATAGAATACTATTCTTTTATCTATTATTGAAAATTAACGAAGATTATTTATTCCCTTTCCTCATAATTTGTCTTTTTAATTTTACTTTTCTATTTTTTGATGAAAAATATATTATTCATTGCTTCATATTATAAAACGCATCTTTAAATAATTTCATCATAAAATATAAATAGACAACTTATAAATAAAAATGTCATTAATTCCTCTAAATGAAAATAAATAATTCAAGAAAAAAAATCCCTCCAATTCATTAACAACATTGAGCATTTGAGCTACTCTTCATCGTTTGCAGTACAATTATGACAGTGAGCAACTACAGCTTAAACGGCTTTGTGCAACTCTACCATGGTATCGTCTCTGGAACGAGGAACGATGAAGAGGCCAGTTGTTGCATGCAGAGAACTCATATTTGTTGGAAACAACGTCGTCCAAATTGATGTTGGGGTGAATATTGTCTTTTCTTATTCACCGAGTAAAAAGAAGAAGAAACATGTGTTAGAATTTTTATTACGGGCTTCAATCAATCAATTGTAGTTTTTTTTGTTTTAACAAAAAAAGGATTGAATCATGATTCATATGTAGGTGCAGTAGAAAGCCCATTAATTAAGTGATCCTTTGGTTTGAGCTCGAATATTTGTAACAATATAGGCATAACTTATAGGCCAGTAAAGGGAAGGGGAATAGGATTAATGAGTTTGACTAAATCTCCTCTGCATTCACAGTAGGTTAAAAAAAGTTGCTCCACAACTTACCTCATCAACAATTGTGATCAGGGAGTGGTGTGAACTGCAGAGTAAGATCCTGATCTTTCAAACTTTGCAGGAACATCAGAGCAAGCAAGAAGCGTCTTTTAAGAAATCTCATG